TTGTTGGTTGTTGATCAGATGGCTGTTGATCTGTTCGCCGAGCTTGGCAATTGGCTTGCAAACGTTTCGTCACCATACGAGGAGACATCATCAGTGCGCAGTTGATGATGCGCTCCTCGTATGGTGACGAAACGTTTGCAAGCCAATTGCCAAGCTCGGCGAACAGATCAACAGCCATCTGATCAACAACCAACAACCTTATACCTAACTGTCAGACCCTTATTGATGGTCATGAAGAGGTTAGGAACGAGCGTCCTCGTACGTACTGAAACACGAAAAGTTCATCTCAACTTGTTTTGTGTACTCCAACCCATTACATGTGTCTCGTTTTTCTGTACAGGAACCCTCTTTCCAACGCATCGCTGTTTCACCCTCATCCTTCGGCCAGCCATTTCTCTACCTCCGTTCCCATACCTGATCTGATGTGTACAGACTTGGGTGCGGTAGCGACAACGAAACCTGTCTCGCAATTTAATCGCACCCGTGGTTTCACACAAACACTATATTCAAGTCCCGCTGATGAAGCTGCTCGGCTTCGGCGTGCCGAGGAAATCCAGGTTAACTTTTCACTCAGTTTCTTATTCGTTTCCTGTTTTTGTGCCTAATTGGTTCACTAAGTCCCCAAAACTTCATTTCATCTGGTTCTGTTAAATATTGTAGCGTGCCAATTTGGAGCAGATTGAAGAGCACCGTCGTATTCGTGAACTTGAACGAGCCAATCGGCTTCTGGAGGATAAACTTGAGGAGGAGCGTTTGGAGCGTGAGCGCGCACAATTGCGGGCGGTCGTCGAAGCTGAGAACAAAGAAAAGCAGTTAAGAGAGGTTCGTATTACCGTACTGGCCATTCTGTTTGTTTTCAGTTCATATATCCCTCTGATACTTTCAACTGAATGCTTAACACTTCTGCACCTACTGCGGTCACTGATCATGCGCTGGAAAGCATCAAACGCCGACTAAAAAGTTGAATCTGTATGCGACCAGTCGATCAACACCCCTGTATTGCTTCAGCTATTCATCTTCGTTAAGAAAATAATTCTAGAAATGCGACCAGCTTGTCGATCAGCTGACTATTTGCTGATTCCTGCTTGGTAATTGCACCGTTTTTTCGAACGCGTGACCCGTGTTCCCAAATTAAAAGCCAGGTCTCCAATGTGACTTCCCCTCACCTTGCAACGTTTGCTCCGGTAGCTGATAGCTCCTTTCACTCCCTCAAAGAGAAAAAAACCTCCAAAATCCTGTGAACTTTTCACGGACCATCACCAGTCGGAGAATTGTTGCATTCCCCATTACTGTTAGGCTTAATTTTGACAAATCCCCGCCAGCTTCCACGCAGGAATTTCGTTTGATTGTCGCACATTATTTTTTCTGCGTTTTTAACATTACAACCTAACGACAGACTAAAGATGAGGAATGGTAGTACGCTAAGGTTGAACAGTACCATCCAAGCTCTCGTTTCGTGCCCATTACCACGTCCACTCTAGTCCTTGTCCATCTTGTTTTGTTTTTTCCTCTGTAATTTGGGCGCATCGTGTTGGTGGGTTACACCTTTGCATTTGGAAACACGGAGTCGTTTTTTTAGTTAAAACCTATTCCCGTTACCCACCCTGTCCGAATAGAGAATCAAGTAAACTCGTTTGCACACCATTTTGTTTTTTACGGGAAACTCAGCTGAATCTCTCCTTTGTGACATTCTTTTACTGAGCGTGCTGCACGAAGTCTGCCCCATGCTTCAGTTTGTACGATATCCAAGATATCGCAGTGTATTTTCCTGAAAGAAGCTATTCACAATATTGCTTGAAACTCTTTTACAGCCTACGACCGGTTTCACCATTCTTGGTGCTCATCAGGCAGGCTTAATCCTCGGGTTTCAGTCAGCCGTATGTTCCACTTTACCCCAGATTGTACAAAATTCGCGAAATAAACAAATTGGCGCTGAAGTGGGTATATCCAGCGAATTCCATACAATTTGGATTTGATTAGAACACACGGTTAACGGAAACCCGGGGACTGCGCTCACTTAGTGAGCTCTAAGAAGAGCAAAAACGGTCGTAGGCTGTCGAATAATTATTGGTCAGTGTGCTCTGTAAATCACCCTATTTAGAGTATCCTTTCCCTACGTTCATTGATCGCGATTTGCTTCCGGTATTCACACAATGATGCTACAGCAAAGTGAGGCATGGCACACTCAGACCAATTCGGTTGGCGCCAAGTGCTCATCCGTGGCTATATTTGATGTGGTTGATGCGTGCTCACCAAACTGGTGATACTGCTATGGTTTTTGATGATGGTGACGTTTTTCTGCCGTACAGGAAATAGCCGCGATCGGACTGTAAAATGGTAATTCTAGCAAAGGACGGTTTTCTATGAAGAGCACTCGGACTTGCTTTATTGCTGTGCTGTCGGAGAAAACATCCAAATGAAGGTAATAATCACGTCAGTGGGGCGCACTCCATTAGTTTGCCATCTATACTTTGGTGAAGGTTGAAAACACGCAATACGAACTGAATATAATGGGAATACGTACTCGTCGGACCCCGGGTCAAGAGATAACTGACAAGAGATAACTGATGTCAGTGTAACTGCATAGGTGATGGTTTGTCCTACACGAAGGACCGACCAAAGGTAAGCTTTCCTTAAGTGGGCCCAAAGTGTGCAACATATTTTCATAATTCTTTCTTGTATTTGCCCATTACTGTATGACCCTAAGTGAAAAAGTGCAGTAATCTGAGTTAGAGTGACGGAACGTTAGAGTAGACGGAACGTGGTTCACAGTTTAGGAAATGCCAGCTCACAACTGATCGATCGGAATCGATGTTTTCCCAGCAACTTTTCGAATACCATCGAAGAATCTAAGCAACTATATAAAAACTAATCGTTAATGTTCGAAAATGCCCAGTGTCTATCCGTATATCTAGTGCTCCCCCATTTAGACTAGAACACGCCCCCGCTACCTCAGTGAACTTTTCAGGATGCAAGGTCTGCAATGGTGCTTAAGCTGACTTTCCTTAGCCGCCTTAAAAATGAAACTATATAAAACGTTGGCTTACCACATTCCCGAGCGCAGATACGAACCGAGTTTTGCTTATTGGTTGCCATCATTCAGCCGAACCAAACGTCTTCAGGTTTAACTTCCTCCACCTAATTCCAAGTTCGTGGACTATCATTCGTGCACGATGAAGGCTTCCCGACTGCCTGTTTTTTCGGTCCCCCAGTTTCCCTATCTTTCTAGGTCTACATCGAGCGCAGAAGGGTTGGATTGGATTACTTTTGCTCAATATTGGACCCCTCTCTTGTACCACCGTATTCGGATCATTTTATAAAACCGAAGTGCCCCAATCCAGACAGGCCATTGCAAAATGGATTGAGGAACTGCCTTGCTGGCTATCATCATTAGATATGGGACTTGCGCAGCGTCGGTGAACCTTAGTACGCACTGCAGCAACTGTTCACTGCTCCGTTGATTACGAAAAACAAAATTAGTCCCCTTCAGGTGGCAGACTACAGTGCTGTTGTGATCATACGCCAACATTTCATTCCTCCGGTGGCCGATTGTTTACATGACTTGGCTTTAGATTCGAAAACAGTTTCCTATTTTCGTGTCATTTGGTTCTTCCCCAGTTGGGAATCACTGATGCTGAGACAGCGGAAAAGGTTTACTGAGCTGTGTTTTGTGCATGCGATACAAATATTCTATTTCCTGGAAGGTGACACTATGTTTAATGACTGAGCTGTTTGTCTGTATCCACAACCCCTCTTTTTTCGTTTCCTTTTCATCGCTCAACTGTAAACAATCAGATGGAAGAAAACACAAGAACTCAGATTTTATTCGATAGCCTAAAACAAGCGCGTGAAGAGGCTGCCAACTATAGAACGCAAGTCCGTTTTCGTCGTAGTGGTGTTGACCAGCAGAATCCAACGTCCCACACTGGAGATGATGACGGTGGCCACACAATAGACAGCAAGCCACAAACAAAAGTGGCGGCGTACGCAAACCCCAGTGCACAGATGAATATGGGCAGCACATATACTATGAATCTGGACACAGTGCTCAATAAAGTGGTGAGCTGTTTTGGTGTGGTGTTTCTTTGGTATCTACTTAGAATTTCCAAAGGCGATATAATATACATTCGTTACGAATCCGTAGTACACCTAATACAGACGAAAAGACATATTGAGAAGGGAAATCGAGCACACTGCCCCCGTCCAGTAAATTCATTTTTCCTAATATTCATCCTAAACATTACTAGATTCCAATACTGGGTAGGGGACGTTCAGGTTCGAAGCATCCACCCTAGTAGGACAAAACTGTGGTGTCCTTACTTTGGACTTTAACCTTGTTATAGGTATTGTATATATGTTCTTCTGACTTTTGAGTCCAAGGTAACCCTGGTTTGTACCAAAGGATACCTAGTAGAAGGCTACATTCACCTAGTGTTGTGTGACATCGCCTGCTGTCTTCCGGTGGCCTGTTGTGAACAGTTTCCTCCTCTCTCCGGCTGTCCACACCTTGTCCGGACAGCAGAAGAGACTCGAGTTTCTTTCTGCTAATTCAGCAAAATCCTTCTAATCCGGCCATATGCAGTGACAACCTTAGATCTTTCCTTTCAAGTTCTGTTTTCGACCAGTACAGGATAAACAATAGCTTGGAACCTCATCCTCATCAGAGACAGGAAAATCAGAGCTGATACTAATGCTTCGCTGCCGTACAACCCTAAAGTTTATCTAATCATATTTAAAGCCTTAGAATAAAAAGAACAGAAAAGAGTGGATGAAGGAAGGGACCTGGTTCTGGTCTATCTACACCTCCAAACGCTCAGTCGGACAATCTGGAAGGAAACTGGCAGCACGAACGTACTGACATCGATCAGCCCCCATTCACTGCAATGCTTTCAGCCAAGCGCAGAATCGCTCACGGGAACCCCGTCTTGGAAGGCATTCCGTACCAACACAATGAGAAATGAGTGAGATGGCCCACTGGTTAGAGCGTGAATTTACTGACTAGAAAGTCCGTAGTTCGAACCCGGCCTCTGAATCCTCGACACCCTTCGTGCCTCCTTCGGGCGGCAGCTAGGCGCCAAAAGCTACAACTGAACGGTTTTTTCATTCTGTACCAACGACATCCAAACTCTTCATAATCTATTTCTCACCCTCCCGCCAAGTCATACGTTGTCCACCTCGCGGTTTTCGCCATTCTGAAGGAGACATGGGGAACAGCACTCGTCTCGGTAGATGGTGTTTCGGCATGCGTAGCACATGGCCGAGCCGGCAGCCAAATACTCGTTTTCTAATTACTCCGTTACGAATTCGTTGATGCCATCCGATACCAGAAAAGCTTCTGAGGCATCGGTGGTTAAAAACCTGAGGATGCTTCACCTCATCTTTCCTCAGCGACTATATTGTTTTAGAAATATATTTTTCTAAGCTTTGAGAACCAGCACCAATGTAATACGTATATACATTTGATTACATTAAGAAGTGCCGGCTTACGATGCGTTCTGTGAAGTCCTGTAACAATTTTCCGAACGCTGCACATGGATTTTATATCCCACTAGTCAAATCTGACGTGCCTACTACACCTGACAAGACTAGATCAACAGGTTCCCTACTTATCCTTCCGTTCTCCTAACAGTTCTTTGTGCTGTTGCACTAGTTTGCTCAACTTAATCCTGGCCGCGCCACAACCATCTTCTTACAGCTTAGTCTGTAGTAACTTGTGGCAACACACTCGGCTACTCGTGGACCTTGTGCATTGTAGCAACTGTATAAGACTTCCAGTAGGTAAATACGTATGATGCTACGCGACTGATGGCTAACCAGATTCACCAGCAATTATGTTATAATCTAACGCCTGTCCATACTGACGTGACGATTTGCATTCACCATCAGACGAGGGAAGCGCAGGGCTTTCCGTAGACAATGAGACTGTCTCGCTTGGAAAATATGACATAAATGTTCAGTCCATCCACTGTTTTTTTGGTATTTTTGGTCGCTCTTTGGCTATTCTATTGTATCCTTTGTGGACGAGCTTGAAAGTCACTCTTATTTCTTACAATCCAACCGTTCTATTCCATTGTTTCTTCGTCCACATTCAATAGCAAGTTCCCGTAGTGACCTCATCAGTTGGGGACACAGAAGATGCTGCCTGTCAAACAGGTGAGTGTATGTCTGCGTCGCTGCTTCTCCGTGTACCTTCTATTTCATCTAATCTCTGTTTTAAATCTGACTTGGCCTTAAGTCCATTTTGTCCGACAGTTTACCGTGCGTCTGTTGAATTTTCGGGTACTCGGAAGTGGGTCCTCTCGTTTGTTTAATCAGCCTTAATTATCCAGTTTGCCTATATTCATCGTTCCGCACCAGTCTTCCAAAACTCTTCACCTTCGTCCTCCCTGTCTGATTGTAACTTTTCCGCATCCCATCGCACAACAGTACGTTCCATTTTACTGAATTAATTCAACTGCGGATAGCTTAAGTTGGCCGTACTGTTTTTCAAAAAGACATCACTGTGATATTTTCGTTGTCAAACGCGGTGCACTGTTGGTATTAGGAGACTTTCCAATATAAATACATGTTATTATTTCTATAATTTTCATTCCTAACTTCACTGTTGACGACTTTGCTTGCGTTTCGCTCAACGAGAACGTTTGTTTATCTTAAACGCATTCAAATCGCACCCTAACCGCTGTTCCACTTTCTAATTTTACGCGACTTGATCTGTTGGCTTCTTAAGTGCATGTTCCTCGCATTTTTCAAGGTTGTCACTTTAGTGGTGAGAAAGTCCGAAGCGGAATAAATTCTTACCCGTATTGAATAAGAGTATTTATGGCAAGCAATCCGAACACCGTTCGCTTCTGTATGAGTGTCACAAGTTCTCCGTCATGCCCATTAGATGTGGAACCTCATTGTCACCTTTTTTAAAGCACGCTATAAGTAGAGCTCTTACTTACCGAATACTTTTTGGTTTATTTCAATACGCTGCGTTCGTTTTTGCGAATAATACTAAGTTCTGCACACTGAGCGCCAGGTCATCGCTTTCTTCAATGCGATTGTGTTGGTGCTGCTACCTTTTCTCCAGAATATCAATGGAAGATATCCTCAACGGAAGAACCCCGAAGACACAAGTAGCCTAGTATAGGCAAAGGCCAGGATCGTAGCAACACCACGCCTGTTGTGGTGGATTTATCGACCGTTTTGTTTGTACTCGGCGCGCTTTACTTCTACGTATCAGCAGTTGAAATTGTACAATTTGTCTTCATCATCACACGCAGCATTACATCAGTTTCGAACGACGATACTGTACTCACTGTGATTAAGTATCTGATGTGCATAAACAGCCATTTAGGCAATCTGGATAACTTCCGACAACACTGTCACCAATTGATAACCAAATCCTGCACGGCTTCCGTCCGAACACAGGGGGGATTACTTGGATTCCATCCTGGGAAGCAGGTCACACCGAGAATGCCCAGACTTTTTGTAATTGCTTTCATACCCTTCTGCCGTGTCAAAGGCGAATCATTTGGGTGCTCATGCCACCGAATTACGTACGGATACCGACACTTACCTGGTATCTGACCTTGCCTCTCCAACGAACTTGACACTCGCTTTGAAAACCGAATCAATGGTATCAGTAGTTGGGTGTCGTAATTCGGTGTGTTTGTTTGGTCCTCTACCAGTTGCTTAAACAAGCCATTATTCTGGAATCCACAAGCCTGATGGTGCTAAGATCCTGGCCGTTGCCTATACCGTGCTGCTTGCGTCTCCGTCTGTGGTTCTTCCGTTGTAGATATCTCTTTTTGATATTCTGAAGAGATAGCCTTAGGATGATGCTCCATCGTCTCACCCGTCAACTTTTTTGACCACAGGTCAGTGTCACCTCCTCTCTTTGGACTGTGTTCCATTTAGTGTACACGCATTAGAGTATCGAAGCTCCTGCTTCCCTGTTCCTTCCTATCTAGATCCAGTTTCGATCACCTCGCCGAATTCGACCCCAGTGAGAGCCAAGGCTTCCGTTGGTACTGCCAACGCTCCTGGAGACCGGTATCCTGTGGTTGGTCAAACGCGCCGTAAAATTGCCAACTCAGGAGACAACGTCAGTGAAACGTCACACCGACTACCACCAATCAAAAGAGCTCCTCAACGCACACAAAAAGGTAATTTTTGCATTTGGTCTGCATTTCTGCTTACTCTCCCTTATTCAGCATCCTCCACACCACAGCCGTCTTGAGAGTTAGTGTTTTGTCCTTCATTTTGCATACGGCGTCGAGTTTGGTCACCAAGAGCTCGTTGAGCTCACCGTGGGCTAATGGATAAAAAAAGCGAGGCAGTGCGATGCAACCAATCATGCAGACATACGGACTTGTTAGCACCAGAAGAGAAGGTGACGCTCGATGTTTATCATTGAACAATGATTCGGTTGAGTAGGTCGGTGAAGTCAACTTCTCATTCTGGCTTACATGAGAGTGCATTTTATAGCTGTCGACTTGTGTCGCCTTAAACTCTGAAGCAGCTGAAGACCTATGGAGCTAGTAGGTTTTTCGAATTTATTCGTGACTACCCTATCGTTCACGTCTGACCCCAGACGGTCTAATAGCACCCAAGCTTTGGAGCTTTGCTCGGGTTGTACGACGGTTTCGTGCAAAACGCGTCGATCGAGTGAACGTTTGTTTACACACGCAAACTAGCCACAGAATAAGATAGTTTATACATAGCCCAGATTCTGAACCACACGTATGTTCGCTGCACGTTTTTTCTGAATGAACTGGTGCCTCGGACGGAGGAGTGGAATAGACGTTTCCGGACATATCTCCGGTTCCTGTAGGCCAATGTTTCTCCTAGCGTCATTGAAGACCCTCTGTTTCGGTCAGTCGTTACTGACCTGAAGGTCCATAGTTCAAACCCACTCTCAGTTACTCAACTACTCACATTTAGGTTTGGGAAACCTTCCGGTATCTCAGCTCCCGTTTTTTACCTCAGGCTTCGGTCACATGTTACTATAAGAATGACTGTATTGACGGCGCTTAATGGTAAGTTCTGAATATGCATGAAAATACATACGTACGGACAAAAAGACGGCTATGGTTCGAGTTGAACCTAGGGTGTCTTGTCCGTCAGACGACCGATGCGCAAGCTGAGCAATTGCAGACTTTATCATGTGCTGCGCGAATGCTCTTGGAGCCACATCTATTCGTCACACGTCTCCGCTAGTGGGTCCCTTATGTAAGCTCCACCATAAACCAGCCGTTGATATCTAGGGGTTTTGAAGTCATCTCGTGAAATGGTATAAACCAGCTTTTAGGGCACCACCGTGACAACGGCAAGTGTGGTGTTCTTGTCTCGCCCAGAATTGTTCATCCACTTTCACTGAAAAAACACTTGCACTTGAGTGTCGTCATCAAATTTTCTCGTCTAAGGAATCAGAACCCGAAGGATTCTTTGTTGCAACCGGAATAATTCTTCCTTTCTCCGTTTTTTTTTACAGTAAACAACCTAGTGAACATCTTTTATGGCTTTATACCTTATGCTGTTCAGCTGTAGCACCCTTTAGGTACTTAACTTTCATGTCACCACCAAGAAGCTCGAGGGATGGGACACTGCCAGGTTACCCAAGCCTAGACAGGGGAGGTAGAGAGGCAGAAGTCGGGTTCGAACCACAGACCTTCCGGTCAGTAAATTCGCGCTCTGATCACTGAGTCGTCTCGCCATCTCGCTGTATATTTACCACCATGTGTTTCCCAGCAGCAGTGAGTGCTTGATGTTATGCGACTTCCCTGCAGCTGGCATGGCTCAATCATTGACTACCAATCCTTCCGGTATACGCAGGTTACCTCAGATTAAGCCCCCGTTTCGTGTAGATTCTGATCGGATTTCCCTTTTGAACCCAAGAACGAGTTCCTCATATGGAGGTAGAAAAGCTATGTACGCTACAAGTTACGGAAACATACCAATGCTTCCTATTCTTTGATTTACACACGGCCTCCTCAGAGGACGCTGGATGTAACCAGGTTAAGATAATTAAGACTATACGCGATGAAAGAAACTCCCCCTCTCCCTCTGTGTTTCCGAGTGCGTACGCGGGAACCACTGGGTCACAGAACAGCCACTGTGAATCTAATGTCAGGCGCTTCATCCACTCGAGCTTAGCATAATTCAGCTAGATCATCGATTAGACGAAAGTTCAAACGTAGCCATTCTGAGTACTGAGGAGTGTTATGAGGCCAGAAAGCGCAGGAAGTGGAAGAGGGCAGTTTAGTCAGGAATGTCTGAAAGGTGTTTTTGGTGATCAAATAGCTCAGAGACATTCTGTGAATGAGTTGACATTATACAATATTGGATATATAATACAATGAATAGCAGAATCTAGATCACTAGATGGGGTTTTTTCAATACCGGCTTACTTGACCACGCGCCCCAGTACCCATGTCTATGATTCGACCAGCTCATTTTTAGTCATGGTCTGTGAAGTTATGCTCCCATCAGCTTCTGGAGTACTAATCCGTCTTTCTGCCTTGAACTACCATCAAGCTGTTTCTTCAGATGAGCCTCTACGATCGTTATTCAAAGATGGAGGTGAATATTTGTTTGTGCTTATTCGGTTACAAGGACATGTACCTGATTCTTGCTTGCAACCTGAGGGTTCCAGAACCGAATGTTCTAACCATAGGGGGCTAAGCCTCACACCTATCCTAACACGGCTACTCTCTTCCCTAATGTTGCGACTCAACTTCGGCATCTGTGACGCAATTTCTCGATCATTAAGCAAAGTTTCCACCTGGTACGGGATGTACCAGGTGCCACGTCGACCAACACTCGTGATTTTCCTTGACTTTAAGGGAGCCTTCAACTCTGTGGATAGATAGGCTCCTCTAAATCTACTTGACCAGATCGATACAACTTCCGATTTTGGTAACATTCGTGTCCTTTATTCCCATACTTCCGGTCACACTTGAATATGCATCGAGCTATTCGTTGTTATCCGACAGCTAGTGGAGTTCGTCAGAGTTTGTCTCTCCCTCCTATTGTTTAGTTTCTTTGTCGTTATCGTGGAGTGCACACTCCAAAGGACGATTACTCAAAGTGATGAAATCTCGTCTGGAAAGAGATCGATCGACTCGAAGGCTGCAAACGACACTCTACTCCAGACAAGACGTTGTAGTGGTCCCTTTTTTGTCATGCGCTTTGCCTCAAGATGAAAAGCCGTGCGTGAGTTTTTGTTCGGTTCGCCTATCTTAGCAGCAGGTTTGTACTGTAATGGATGAAATCAAGGCGCGGACAGCATTTATGGCTCCTGAAATGGATTTCGCTGGCGCTCTTAAGGTAACTGTAGGAGCATTTTTCCCTATAGTTGTGAAACCTGTCTCCTCCTGTCCAGGAACGTTGGATGGATCCAGACTTTGGTCATAGGTGCTTTCGCAATGCAGTAGTCATCTGGTGACTTCAGCCTGTAGTCGAGATGGGTAGAACGATACTTGATGATGTGTTTGGGTCACTAAAGCAGCAAATCAAAACTTTGGGCTTGATGTTGTTGGGCCCGTACTACGCACCAACCACCGTCTGCCAAAGAAAGCTTTTTGTGCTCCAAATCACTGTTGACTATAAGTTCACGGAGGACAGGCATTGAGATGAAGACGGTTCTAGTGAAACAGTATTGTGGAATCTGCGCGCCTTCCTGACTGGGTCCCACGTGGTCCTTCTTGCTTGTGCCTGGAATACATGCCACACAACTAATCCCAGTGGCGCGCATGTCTAACTAAATTTTATTTGTCGTTGTATGCTGAGGTTTTATCGGGCGAGTTTCTTGATTAACATGGGATCACTGATGACACCATTCTTCGTCTTCCTGCTCGGATATCTATTTCATAGGACACCACGTCGTCTTCTATTCAAGGCTTTCTATCCTCACCCACCTACCTCCCAGTGGCGCGCATGTCTAACTAAATTTTATTTGTCGTTGTATGCTGAGGTTTTATCGGGCGAGTTTCTTGATTAACATGGGATCACTGATGACACCATTCTTCGTCTTCCTGCTCGGATATCTATTTCATAGGACACCACGTCGTCTTCTATTCAAGGCTTTCTATCCTCACCCCCCTACCCCCCCCCGACTAAATTGTCGTGACACTCACAAGCATACGAAGATCAACGGAATGTACCAATGGTACCAACGGCGAACCATCAGCTGAAGCACATCGAAGTGGAAGAGTAGGGAATCAAACCCCATCGGAACTAATTCACAACTACCCGAACCCATCAACGCAAAATTTTGGCAACCACACTAACCGACGAGAGCCGTTAATTGACACTCAACGGTGATCTAGTGCGCTTATATGAAGACATCTTACTGATTGGTTCTCCGTCTGCCTTAAAACCCGACCAACTTAACGACCTGCTCACTTGGTCCAATGAAACTTTTGTGTGAAAATCAAAACGTTGCCTAGTTAAAAACCACCGATTATTTATCAAGCTCTTACGAAACGAAGGTTTCTATCGTGTTTTGTTTGTACGGCTGATAAGCGTTAGTATGTAGTGCTCGTGTAGTACTATCAATGGTATGCTGCTCGTGGCGGTGATAATGATAATAATGTTGAAGTACCTTGGCAGCAGTGGTATCCTATAGGGGAAACGTCTACATTCCCTGGTCGTTTTATTCTAGTTCTTTTCCGTCGATTACCTATACTCATCTATTTCTGACAAGATTGTGTTTGTTCCTTCCTCACCAACCTATATCTTCTTCACTTCTTTTTATGTGTCGACTCGTGAGGGATGTGAGTATAATTTTTTGATGATCATCAACAGTTTCTTTTGCGCCATTTCTAGGAGTAGGCCAAGGCTAAACCCAAATCCCTAAAATAGGTGCTTCATCTTCCCCAATTTTTCACTCTTCTAAACAGCGGGAAATAATTGTCTTCCAACCGAAAGCTTTCCGTCACAGTGCGTTGATCGCCTTCGGACACCCAAAAAACCTATTGGAACTTCCACCGTTCAAACTCAGTCGCCCTTAAAATCTATTGGAGAGACCTCAAACAGAATATCGAACGGGGGTCATTACGCCGCAGTTCCATCCAACGCCAGAAAAACACAGTATGTGACTTTTGTTTATAACCCATGTACATACCAATTAATGTAGGCGGTGAATCCGAACGGGTTCAAAATGTATCCCTCTCTCATGGTGTTTTCCAACTGCATGTGTAACCCGAACGCCGCCACAAGGTTAAGATGACAAAGTATGGTTCCTACTGAGTACTAGAATATTTGAAGTAGGCCAAAGACGACAGCGTACGAATGAAGAACAACGTTCAGCAGTAAATATTGTTAGTAGTTCATTTTTTCCTGAACCGATCTATGTTAATTTTCTCTTTTCCTTCATCTGACTTTACCTCTTGGAGAACCTGTTTCGCGTTCCTGTCGTCTTTTTGAACACACGTCCGGCTGGTTGTTGAAACCACTTACGATACGATGACCTCAGTCCTACTGGATGTTTCTACGGCACTGTGGTCCCTTTAAAGGGACATCTCCCCGAAGAGCGGGGAGGGTTGAAAATTGTCTGCACGAGTGTTTTCCTTTTGATCGGAGTGGCAATGGCGATCTGTCTTTATTTGTATGCGTGTGTTACGAATAGATTTCGTAATTACGCGACGAAATTTTCGATTCCATAGGTTACTAGTCTTGCCGCACACCAGTATGGGGAGTTTAATCCGTGTGATAACCGTTCGATTCTCTCAGCTAGCCCGCTGCAGGTTATTAAACTTGTGCCGTCTATAAAGACTCGAATAAACTTTAAAAATGCGGTGTTTTATCACGATCTATTGGTAATTCCACAAATATACTGTTATTTTACGTCGCCATGTTATGGATATCTCCGTAGCTGTCTAGCGCTTATTGCAATCTGGAAGCCAGGATCAGAAATAGCCTATAGTGTTCCGAGCCACTGTGTCAGCAATGCTTACCCCCGTATCCGTCGGCCAACATATATGCATGAATTGCATTTGGGTTTTAATCAGTTATGTACCGAACTGGAAACGCTTTTTCTATGGTTCTGGGGAGTGGCTATTACCTCGGTTGGAGTGACGACGGGATAAATACGTACATCGAAACTCCTTTGCTTGGCGGAGGGACTGTTCTATAGTACACATATTCTCCTAATGATAATGGCTCAGCACCCTCCTGGTGCCTAGCTGCCATGCCACCCGAGTGAAGCAAAAGGGCTGAGATACTACCAGGTTGCCCAAACCTAGACAGGGGAAATCGAGAGGCAGAGGTTGGGTTTGAACCACGGACCTTCCGATCAGTAAATTCACGCTCTAACCACTTGAGCCATCCCGCCCCACATATTGTCCTAGGTCATTCTTATTTCGATCCAGACAATTCACGTTTTCTACATGCCTTTCCCGTCCGCTGGTAAAACATGCTGGATGATGTTCCCAGTGACTATCGCAATATTCCTATCACAACTTTTGGGTGGAGCTAACAATGCCTCACATCAAACACAGGTGACCTATATGTGTGAAATGATACAGCCTCCTTCGCATCATTATCAAGATGAGTTTATTTTGGGCTCCTAGTTGTGTAGGCCTCGGCTACTGCTGTCATACTTTATGTACGGTGAGAAAAAACGAACACTGTGGACGGGGTGATGGCGAAAATAGCTTCTCCGTAACTCCAACCTGCTCACAGTATCTACGTTCCACTCAACTGTGATTTATATCTCTTCAATATCGCTATCCTACTTGCTGTATTTTTGAAAACTTGACCGTAATGTGTTGTCCATTATTGCCATTTTAATTTCAGAGCCGTTATCTCAGCTATTCAGTCTGATCGCAATCCAACCCGAATTCCTGTGCCTGGTGAGTCGGTTTCTCATTCGTGACCAGATTGTGCATGATTTCTCTGTGGAAAGATAAATCTCCGCTAGTGTAATCGTCAGAATAGCATATGTTTACTTCAGTTCCTTGATATGACATGACAGTCTGATATCCTTTTTTGGGATGTTGGCTTACAAACGCCAAGCCTGAGAGTTCAGTGAGGTGCGAGCTTACTGGTCGGAGGGCCCATGGATCGAACCCGACCTCTGCATCTCGACTGCTCCTGTTTGCAGTTGGGAAACTTGGTTGTACCTGAGCCCTCGTGCCTCTCCGGTGGCGCAGCAACTAGGCACTGAAACGGTGCTACAACTGGACGATTATTTATTTTTTATTCACTCTCATTTTTCCACCGACTGTCGTGTTCAATACTGTTTCCTTACAAAAAACTTTGCCTCAATCTTTTTCTCTTCAAGCAAACAACCCAACGCATCAACAACAAACATTGTCTTATGTCGCGTCAAGTTCATAACGAAATATCCATTCGTTCGAAAAGTTGGAGGTCTGGATGTGACCTACTGACCAAACGGGTCGTGGTTCCAATCCATCCGTACTTTTGGAGTGATTCCATCTAGGCTCGGGCAATCGGATGATATCTTAGTGGTCATGCTTTATTTAAGTGACACGACTGCTGTGCCCTGGAAGTGGGCCACAAGAGACTGATTCAAAACCTGTGTGCAGGATGCGTCAAAGAAGACTTGTGTCCCTTGCTTGTTACCTATGGAGAGTTCGTTCATTTTCCATAAGCTTTCTATATCAATAACTCGATTTGATGCAATCAATAATGGTAATAATCGTTCACCTGTAACACCCTTTCAGTATCCAGCTGCCTTGTCACCTCAAGGAAGCACGAGGGCTGAGATACTGCCAAGTTGCCCAAGCCTAGACAGGGAAAGTCGAGATGCAGAGACCGAGTTCGAACCACGGACCTTTCGGTCAGTAAATTCGCACCCTAACCAATGAGCCGTCCCCTTATCATGTCACGTAATCACGTGACCGTCATACAGGTGAACCAGTGAACACTAGGGTTTCCAGGTTTTATAGACGAACATAATTGCTCAATCTAAACGCCACATATCGTTACATGTTCCACGGCTGTTTAGTGTATCCCGCTTCAGTTGAAAATTATGGCCTATCCACTCGAGAATGCCGATTGTTCTATAGAACAGTCTGCTCCCAATTACCATCAGGCCTGGTTCATCCGGATGGCTCGTTTGTCCCAAATAAATGTTGCTGTTTCGTAAATTTCATTATTATCTCAGGAATTCCCGCGCCATGTTCGAGTACACTTTGGTTAAATTCATCATTCTCTTTTGGAATAGGTGTAAATTAACGTAGCTTAATGAAACGGCGTTGCTTGTGAATAAACTACACATTCATCGAATGATGAATCCCCTAGGTTCGAACTCAAGTGCCCTCGGCAAGCAGCAGTGTTCACCGGGTGTACACCTGGGATTTTTTTGTTAACTTGTTAAAGGTGACATGAATAGCTAACTAACAGCTTATCGCAAGAAAGCAATGCTTTCAGTGGTAGCATTTCTGGAGCTTACGATTTTTGTCAAACTGGGACAAAAAGAAATGGAAAAACAATTAACGATGTCCAGAACTCAGACACCCGCATTGTTTGCCCTCTTTATTAGAAACCTAACGGTCTTCGTATCTCAACGGTAAAACTGTGAACAAATGATCGTGGCTACTTTTAACCCATTCATCACTCATTCTATTCTATTCCTATAATTTGCCATAAAAGATACCGCGTCTTGACTTATTTTGAGATCTCTCTAAGTGTACGTGAAACATCGGAACAAATTTCACACATCAAAATAGGTGATCTTTGCACTTGTCTCGCACGCATCATTCTTCCAAATCTGTTGAATTTTGTGAAAATGGCTGTTCATATATTGGGCTGCTTGTAAAGATAAGGCATAACAAAGCAAACATGGAAACGTCAGTGCACATATTGTGCTTGGTAAGAGATGTCGCTAGTACAGTGAAACCTTATGAACTGTCTATTGGTGACCGCTTGACCCACTTAATTGTAATATATTTTGAGCTCTAATTAGAGTCCTCCCTTCAATGTGACTCATCAGAACAATTAAGCCAGGACAGGACGACGACTGTTCAAACGAGAGTGATGTGAACATGAACCCTACATAACCCGTAAACCCCACATCAGAATTTCATTTTTCGTTGAGATACCCGTGGCACTCTGTGCCGGAAACTATCGATGCATATTCGCGAATCGACTAGCGATCACAGCAACTACAGATGTTCATTCGGCCTCCTCACCGAGAATAAGATCAGCCATCTTCAACCATACGCTGAGGAGCTACCTGGACTTAGCCACCTTATATGCAACATGATACCATTCACGTAGCACAATCTTCACCGGCTTTAAAAGACCGTTCATGCCATGTCTGAGTCCGGTCCGTTGGGCCGAAATGTCGCTACGCCAATCATAGATCAAGACCACATGTTCAGTTACCGTCGGAAGCAAGTCCCTAGTCATTCTTCTTTACTTCTTGACATGCTTGCTAACTGTACCGCCTTTCACTGGTAGCCCAGAAATATTCAGATGAATATATAGTTTACTCCCGTGTGTAACAAGATGATCCATCAAGTTGTAGTTGAATTAGCTTTTTTGCCGGCTTTAATGATGACCTTCAAGCTGCTTATTTTGTGAACTTACAGCTTCTCTGATCGGGTCAAACTGCCTTTTAACCTTCCACTGTGACTTAGTGACAGTCTATCGAGAGATAATTGGACAGTGATTTGTTAGCTGCTGTCTAGTGATCTGATATTGAGCTGATAGTAAATTTTCGGCGACTCACTATGTGCACTAATCTAAATATCTGATGCTGCGTTTGCTGTATTACGGACTGGAATCAGATAACCCGAGACTACGTGGTACACCGAGAGGTAAGTTCGTTGGGTTATTCAGGAAAAACGCACATGACAGGTTCAAAGCAAACCGATTGATAGTGTAATCAGAACTTGTCACGTATTGTCATTTTTAAATTGTCAAATTTAAATCCAGGTGACCTTTCCGTAGATCGCTGAAGTTTGCGTGTTCCCACTCTCGCACGCCAGATAGGAATCACTGGTTTAGATTGACGACTGGTGTTTCTAAGGCATGGGAAACATAAGAACCGTCCACATCTGCAGGAACTGCATTCACTGTTGTAACAGGCTAACTGTGTGCACAAAATACAGTGCAGCGATTTCGAGAGGTACTTTGTTGAATGCACAGTTTGATTTACTTATCCAAGAGTCAGAAACTTGCGCTAAAATAAGTGGTGAGCCGGAAGAAGTTGACCAGCAATCTTCGTGTTCCCTTGGCTTCAAAGTTTAGACTTCCGCTTGAATTGATGCTCCGAACCACGCCTGCTCAAAATAGGAGACTCCGAAAGTTCATGAATATAACCAAGTCTCTATATCCGCATACTACCCAGCGTTCTTTTGGTTGTACGTATTCAGCGCTTTAAGGAATCGTTCGGCTGTAACGCTCTGTCGGTGCTTAGCTGCCATTTCACCCGGCTGAGATACAGCCAAATCGCCCAACCCTAGATAGGGAAATTCGAGATACAGAGGCCGAGTTCGAACCACGAACCTTCCGGTCAGTAAATTCGCGCTCTAAACGCTGAGCCATCTCGCTTCCCTACAAAAATTGGTGTCCGGCAACAATGTCCGCTTTCGTTCATTTTTCGACATCGCTGAACTAACGAGGCTAATGCTGGGAGATTTTCGAATCCCAGATGTCCAAATCGTTGCCGACTATAACCTTGTCGATCTGAGGCATGAAAACAAGGTCTCCTTAATATTCTCTAGGCAAAGTGGAAGCGCTGTTGAATAAACTGACAACCATCACACAAGCTTTTGGCATGGGACTTGTACCTACAAGATGCTACATCCCACTTCTGAACGTTCAGTCTCCGAACATGCTCCTTGTAATTTAAAGGGAAACACTGGAGGTTTTGGGAAATTCCGCATACCTCAGTAGTTGTATTAGCTCTCACGGAAATGTGTCCAATGAAGTCAGTGTACGAATCTCAATGTTGATAATCACGTTTGCTAATCTGCGTCATTTGTTGCTTCAAAAAGCATATAATTGGGCCTCAAGGGTCGCGTGTACCAGGCTACGATAAGGGCTGTATTTCTGCGAGCTGTGATCTCTGCGGACAGATAATGTAAGCCCTGTTCAGGTTTTCGGTCGCTGATGAATCAGAAAGTTCACCGGTATCGTATGGCGTTAACGAATTCGTAACGAGGTTATTGAAAACCGGTATTTTATTGTGCAGTAGATACTCCAGTCACCATCTTTGTGAGTGAATCCCAAGACAACCGTTTCGTCAATGGTTGGATTCGGACTGCGAGACAACGGATACTTATGGGTATTATCGCAAATGTTAGTGAAAAAATACCATCTTAAAAACGCTATATGGGGTCTGCTGCGTGATTAAAAGCATCCACAGATGACCTAGCAAATGACGGTAAAACGACGAGAAGATAAACGTTAAGTTAGGTTACATGCAGACAGAGAAGTATTCAGCTCGATCACGTCAGCATGGCATACTATGAAGATAGGCACGGCTTCGGTTTACGGGAAATGGAAAACGGTTTTCAGCGACAGATTAAGCCCGGACGGATGTGGAGCGATCAGTCGCATATTACAGTACTGTACTTCAGATTACTGCATCCGAATTAGTTAACGTCTTCAGACAACTTTCCAAAACTTTGCTTTCGGTGCAACTGCACTTGAGCCTAACGGTCATTTTTGTTTGGAGTGGAGGAGACATGAAATTAGAATCAAGCATCCCACGTAATGCAACTTCACATGCGGACATGTCATTCTACTCATCAATCTCGGGTGGGTCAGTCAAGTGTACTTCGAGCCACACGTCTGTGTGCTTGAGCTCATATCTGCTCAAGCTGGTTCTGACGCTTATCGATCAACTATGTGCTTTTCGTTGCTATGTGCATCGTGAAATACCTAGCAGTGTGTTGCAAACGGGTAGCGGTATCTAATTACCACTCGTTCACTCACTTTGTGATTTCTCTCAATTCGTCTTACGTGATCTGTTGGGTCTCTTATTACTCACCGCATTATTCATTACCAACACGGTTCATTTCCGGTGAACCAATCGAAGAAACTACCTTATAAGTGCAGCTGTCTTGACGGTGTCCACACGTCCTCCGCAAGTGCTCGGCTGCTTTTCAGGCTGTACCTAGTAATACAGAGGCTAAACGGGCGCCCTCGTTCGTGTGAACTTACCGCCCCAAACATTTTCCAGTGGCAATAATTCTATTCTGCAAGCCAGTAGAAACACCGGTGCGTATTTTGTTGACCTAGACTATAATTCCACTTATCTGAACGCAGCTCATACCCACGCTCTTTTCATTGAAACGAAACTGAAGGCTGGTAAGAATGAAGCTAGTTATAGCCTACTGCGTGTACAACCTACCACCTAGTCGTTCGTTGCACCGCCGAAGTAATCCTCCCTGAGCCATTGTGCCCATGCAGAAAGCGTCCATTTTTAGGACTACAACACACCCATATTTTTTACTCAGCAACATGGCTCCATCTGAGTAGGTAGTTTCTTTGTGTTGATGCTCTCTATAGCCCTACTAATCGTAGGAGGTAAATATATAGTTCTCTCTTCTGGCGTCCGCGATGTTTTGGCTAATATATTTAATGCCACCGAAGCCAACGAGGGTTGGGTGGCAGCAAACATGCCTTGGAAACCTTATATCCGTCATTCAGTGTCCACGGCCTTTGGTTCCAGCGAACTGGAATAGTATGCGGTTAAAGGGTTACCTTTGGGTTATTGTTAGCTAATCTGATGAACCATCTTCGTTTTTCTATGGCTTTGTTAGTGCATCAATCTCGAAGATCTGTTCGAGAGATATCTGCTTGACGTAACCGAGAGGGGACGGGGGGTGATGGGCTAATTTTGTGTAAAGAAATGGAAGGGAGTTGGTCAGGAGTCATGTTTATCACACCGATCTCTATGTCCGCGCAGTGCTTTTTCTCATTAATTTTTTTCATGCATTATACAATTACGGTGGTCCTATTACGTTCCCCAATCGAATCACTCATCTAGACTCCCTTGATTTTTCTTCTGTTTTCGGTCGGGTTTACTAACATAGTCGATAGTTTACTAGTAATACCCTATGTTCATAGGAAGAAATATCATTGTGTGCTCCTTTCCATCCTTTCCAACAGTTTCCTCTTCAACGAAGAAACCGACTGTGCGCCATAGGGATTCTCCTCCTTCCACACCTCCTCTGTCTCGCTACACTGACGGAGTCGCGGCAACTCATTACCCTCTTAATTTGGTACGTACGCATGACGTTCTCGATCCCAACTACGCTACCATCACTGTTCCGGTAATCCGAGAAAATACCGCGAAACCGACGAGTCAGCAATCATGTCTTACGGTTAGTGGCTAGCTGATCACATCTTTTTATTGCTAGCTTAAGTTATCCTCCTTCTTATGAGAACGTTTCGCGTTAGTTCTTGAAAGTGCGTGTCCGCTTTTTTTCTCCGAGCTGCTTTTGGTTTTCACATTTTTCATGCCAGACGTTTGTCAAGCTTTTTGAATCCTAGGCCTGTTTACCATTTGATTATAGTCCCGCATACCAGATGAGAAACCGAGCCTTACTGTGTCAACATGATCAGTTTAAGTCGTCTGATGGAATACTGTGAAAGTCTGACGGGTGCCGTCATGCTTCGTTGGGGATGCCTTATTCGTCCTGTGCAGACTAAGGACGGATACTGGCTCCTTGAATTGACATACGGGATTAATCCCACGGACATACACCAGAACTTGTAATTAACTCAACAGACCATGGAATTCATTGAATAGTGGGGAGAATGAATTTTTGAATAGTGTCATATGTACTTCGCCTGGTCGCGTTTGCCTAGAGTCTGATATTTTTGAGTAAATTTATTTGCTCAAGATACAGTTCTAATGCTGGCTCCACCCTGCACCCTATAATGGTGAATCTCTCCGCAAGTCGTTTTTATTCAGTCGCCAGGCCATCTGTTTTGAAACTGAAATTTCCGCAACTCTCGGTAACATATAATGAAAGCAATTATTATAAAAGTGTGCACTCTTCGGTCGGGCATGGATCTGCTAACTGGAATGTTCGTGGTTGCAACTCGACCCCGGATTCCCTACTGCTCTTATCTTGGTTTATACAGTCTGGCAGTATGTCAGTCTTTGTATGTCCCTTGGGTCGCATGACATCTATGCCCTGGTCTTTTCCTGCATATGTGACTACCATTCTAGCTGATCTGGTAGTTGAGGGAAGAAAACCGTTTACTTCTGGAGCCAACTTCAGAGGATGCGTGATACAGATGTCACGTGAATTTATTTTTGAAATTTGTTTCAGAAGTTTCTTCCCTGAGCTTGCGAGTTTGTGGTTGCTGTAAATGTTTGCAAGCTGCACTTTTCTGTAAACATTTCCACCATGCATGAAACAGATAGTCTCGTGGATTCTTGGATTCGTTTGAAAATTCCGATGTCACTTTCTGCCACGATGTACCGAGTATTTCATAAGTTTTGAAGTCCTTCCTCGAAGTGGGTTCCAAATATGATGTGGCAGAATAGGCGGATTCCATCTATGGTATAAATGAAGCAACAACTCGGGAAGACTACTTTCCAAGAAGTACCGAAACCCTTGTCGGACTACAGCACTCCTTTGAAGCAACCTCTTTTATGGACGTTAATTGCACTCCGAAGCGAGCAGAATAACACGCTGCTCTTTCTCTAACACTCGACTCGCTTGGCATTGATCTGTGCTATCTCAGAAACAAGAATTCAAGATACAAGCACAGTGGTTAGCTAACCGCCCCACCACTCTCGGCTCGGTACCGGGTGCGCACCTCTGGCGATCCATAGGCTGCTGCGGCAGCATGTACAAGGGGTGATGTCGTCCTGAGTCACCGGGCTTTGGGATCCTGATTTGACTGGATACCTGTCGATAGTCGTCTGGCTCGTCTGGCATCATCTTTGAAGAGGTCCCACACGAGGAAAGTCGATCGATGTCTGTTTGTCATGTCTGCTTTTGCTTCAATTGACTGTAGCTCATCAAAGATTTTATCACACCCTGAGTGCCCTGCCGCGATGAGCTAAAAGCTCAGATATCGTGGTGGTTGCCTGAGATATGAGTGCGCAACTGGAGGCGTAGCGCACCTGACACTCAATTAGGTAGTTAACATGGATTGGACTTGGTAAGTACTGACAGTGGTGAACAATTGCTTCATTTGTGTGCCGACCGAAGGCGGTTTTTGATGCAGTACTAACTTCCGAAATAGCCGAAATCGTCTGGTCACATGGTGTCCTCAACGGTGTACTGGCCATGAACTCAAATCGATCACATCGCCATCAGTCACCGATGAAGTGGATGTAGTAACGGTATTTTCCTCAGCTTAGTTCTCGGTCTGTTCCTCCCAAGCTAGCGTTCACATCAAAACAACCGCCAAAGGTGCACAAGGTCTGTTAACGCCCAAAACGAAATCAAGAACAGTTGTACAGCGCTTCGTATACATAGCGTAAGCGGTAATAACTTTCTGGAATTTCTGACGCGTTCTGGATGCACCATTGGCAACCGGCATTTGGCCAATACTGGGTCATGATTGGCTGTTGGGTCCAGATTGTTGACCAATCAGATCTCGTCTTGATGCCAGATCGACAAGCCTCCCGAATTCTGGGCCAACCTCGAGCGGGCCAGGCTTCTCGACCGTAGCAGCGCCCAAAGACGTGCGGTATAGTGGGATCCGCGTGGATTCCTGCCTAACAGTGGAGCAATAACTGACTGCCGATCGTACACACTTGTCAATTCTGACCACGCAATCGTCCGGAATCGCTTCTCTTTTCGTTTTCCACGGCCACGCAAGTTGCGAAAAAATCGCCTGGCAACTGAAAGGCTGACAGATCTGTATTTAGACAAATTTACAAAACTCATCTTCTAGAGTCTCTTCCAAATGGTGAGACTAGATCACCACCTCTTTACACAGTACCTGGAGTTTTGCTTGTGACACGATGCTACAAGGCTCACTCAAGCACTGAATATCAGACCGAACGGGGCACTGCTTAAGTCTCGGAGAAATATCCGAACCGGTCCCGAACATGACGAATTATCAGACGTCAAGTGAAAGTGAGCGTCCGAACTGACCGTAAAGTCTGGTGGACACAAAAGGCTAGGGAAATGGGAGGGGTCCAGAAAGCCGGTAATGCCCGAAGATCATTTCATTTGATCCACGTGGCTGATCCCAGGAAACCTCCTGTGGGCGAAACCACGAAGGATCAGTAAGGAGTAACCTTGTGTAAAGATGTCCTCGACTGGTGGGCCGAATACTTCGAACAAGAGCTATCGTAATCACCTGTTTCCACTCATCCGGACTCCGCAGTTAAGGTAGAACCCCTCCCACCACAGCCTCACAGTCGGGTTATGAATTTAAGCAGCACGTATTTAAACAGCACGTATGTCATCGGAAGAACTTAATACACTTCTCACAAGGCTCCCAAAACTCTTCAATTTTATGATCTGTGTCTTCCGTCTGTATGGTGTATTGGATGTCCTCGGTGGGCCGAATACTTCGAACAAGAGCTATCGTAATCACCTGTTTCCACTCATCCGGACTCCGCAGTTAAGGTAGAACCCCTCCCACCACAGCCTCACAGTCGGGTTATGAATTTAAGCAGCACGTATTTAAACAGCACGTATGTCATCGGAAGAACTTAATACACTTCTCACAAGGCTCCCAAAACTCTTCAATTTTATGATCTGTGTCTTCCGTCTGTATGGTGTATTGTGATGTCTCGAATATCGTGCCAATTGAAACATGGGGCTGACATGTGCAGCACGTTCAATTGAAGAAGAATATCATAAACGAGAGATCCAGTTTGGTGTGTCGCCCGTCAAAATTAAATTGATATGCAAATGCGTGTATTGGTCTGAATTACGTGCGTCACTGTCAAGTAATGTCTCACTGTTAAACACAGTGTGGCACACTGTGCACCAACGTCGAATCACATTGACCAATTGTACCTATTGGTAACTGGGTTCCATAAGATAGACCATAACGAGAGTAGGTCCCACGACCTTTCGCTAGCTTTGTTACCTGTTTACCGTCCATCCACCCGTGGAGGGAGAGAATGGTGTTTCTCCATCTTTTCGGAATCCTGTTCCAATTTGACTCACATAATCACTGATATTTATCGACTTGGGCAATCATTCTAAAGTACGTTTCCTGATTTCGCGCAATATCATGATGATGGCGATGATCGTTATGAAAGACGATGGTGCAACTGACACGTTCTCTTGTGGTGCTTCCCTGCTGGTTTTAGGATAAAGTACCCGATCCAGTCAACTCGCGTAGTGATCGACAGAATTCCATATTGCAGCATTTGTCTGAAATCCGAAAAGTGAGTACCCTGTTTTCGTACACGTCCGATCATCCTTTACTTAAAACCAGTTGGTTTACTTCCAGTTTTGACCTACATCGCTTTCTCTTGTTAAGACGTGCTGGCATTTTTAGAGATATATCGATAAAATTCCTAGGGTAACAAGACGAGAACCATAATATGTCCCGATAAAAATCCCAGGATGGCCCAAGGTAGGGAGAGACGTCTATCGCGTAACACTGTATATGCTGTCCACAGTATATCGTAACTTCACCTCGAGTCAAATTTAGGTCTAAACTAGGATACCTCAAATTTATTGTCGAGGCATCTGTTTGAGAACAGCGAGAAGCATAAATCAGTTTGCAGTGATCGTGTACAAATTCAGCTGTGTAGACCGAAAGCTGTCAATTAATCGTAGTGGTTAGGCTTCTGTGCTGCTGATGGTTACACTGGCTAGAAATTAGTTCCTTAAGGTTCACCCATGCCAGAAAGGTCAAAAGAAACCAACGGGTGACGAAGGACAACGAGTCCAAATACTGCGATAAATCATTTTACGAGGGAGTCTGGGCTTGAATTCGCACTGTCCTAGGAGCGTGAAGGTAGTAAGGCGACCGGTATGGTCATATTTATGGAAGCAGCAATGGCTTCTTCCCCGGGGGAAGGTCGGCCCTTAAAATCTCACACTTCGATCGCCCAGCGGTCGACCGTGATTGCAAGCGCATTATTCAATACGATCGAAATACTTCAAAACCAAAGAGTCCGGTGCTGCTCAGAAAGCACCTGCTATGTGCAGCTGCGTTAGGAGGTACACAGTAGCTTCCCTGAATAGGGCCCTCGGGAACATGCGATCGCCTCCAATACTTGGCTGTCTCTTCCACTTTCCGGTGATCGAAACTATCAGCGAGAACCATTGGTATGTGGTTTACAGCTGATTAGTTGATTGACTGATTGATTGTGTAGAAAAAAATCGTATTCAAAGGTTATCCCTGCAGGGAAATCAAGCAAACCTAAATGCCTTAAGGGATGTTTGCTGATGTGTCCATCAGCTATAAAGTAGCCTCCAAATATTTGATTGTCATTCGCATTCTTTCGATTATATCTCGGCGAGCACATCATGTAAACCTTCAAGTATTCTGCCCCAAATGTCGTAAACAGGCAACACACAAACATCGACTTAGCAAAGGAAACACCACCCACATAATCAAATTAGGGCCACAACATTTTGCCGTTCATTGCTGGCTACATTGAACAAGGGTTTCTCCCTAAAATCAACCTGTTCACACAAGTCATAACGGAGACCGGTTAGTTCAGCCTTTCTTAGTATGATAATTGCACTTATCTCAGCCCATCCAACAGATTCTTGAGTATTGTCATAAATAGACTTCGGATAGAGTTAAAAATATACTCGTTGTCCTATGCACCACTGGGCAATGCTCCCCATTAGCGACTCCTTATCCGAACTTAGGGACGGTCAGTTGCAGACCTTGTCTTATCTCACCTTGAACGTTTTGCAGCATTGTCTTTATTCCGTTAGTAGCTGATCTCTAACTGACTCTCACGGTCGTTTCCAATTAAGTCGGAATGTGAATGCGTTTTGTGGGCGAGATAGCTCAATTGTTTAGAGCGCGAATTTACCGACTGAAAGGTCCGTGGTTCGAATCCGACGTCTGCCTCTCGACTCCCCCTGTCTAGGCTTTGGCAACTTAGCAGTATCCCAGCCCTCATGCTTCCTTCGGGTGTCATGGCAGCTAGGCACCGGAAGGGTGTTACAGTTGAACGATTTTACTTGCGTTTTGTGGCACCTCCTTCAGGCACTACTGTTCTTGGCATCTATACCACGTTTTTTCTTGTTTGTCTTGCTTTTTCAGAGTTTAAAAATGCGACAAATGCTTTATGAGTCCGGTACCTACGACGATATTGACGACGATGATGACTTTGCCGATTAGCACTCCTTATTTTAACTCCTTCAACATATCACCCATTGATCTTTGTTGCATTTCGTCAACTTCCGGTTGCCTCAGCATTCTTATCACCCTAGTTTTTTGTCAGCTTTTGTTTCGATTTTTTGTCACCGATTTGTTTATTAAGTGATCTTTTCAGTTGGTTTGATTTTCATTGATCTGCGGTTGCTCATGTTAGTTTGGCCTTGACATTCCATTTAACTTCGGTGTGTATACTTCCGGTTTGTTATGATTACTATCGCATCTACAATCACCCTCAACATTAATGCACATCTCGGCTGCTAATACATTCCGCATTTCCTGCTTAGCAAGCATCTTTTCATTCAGACTGGTGCTTCTATCTTCCTTCAATTACCTTGTTTGCCGCCTTATCATGCCATAGTGGAGGTTTTGACATGGTTGCATTACCCCTCTTCCGAATCCAACATCTGTCATGGTTCTTAGGGTTTTTGGTGGTTCTTGTAGTTTCCTCGAAGCCATCAGCTTGCGTACTTTTGAATTCTGTCAGACACACCTTTATGCACATATGGGTATGTGCTGACACCTCCAAGCACCATTGGTCTAAAGAATTGGAGTGGAAAAGTTGGCACACCTTCCGCGGACGCTGTCAGGGCGGGTGTTGTATTCCAGTAGACTCATAACTGTCCTGATCAAGGCTGTTCAGCGTTGAGTACACGTGTACTCGTCCATCGAAGAAACACCTCTCTCTAAGGGTTTGCCTTCCAAGGCTTAGCGTGGGATCTCCACAATGAGCGATCGGATGTCTCTTTCCTCATGATGTTCCTAACTGTAGGACTTTTGTATAACCTATTCTTATGGAATGAATGCAAGGTTGATAAAGGGTGAAAATGTGACTGCTTACGAAAAGGCCAGTCGATCGTTTGCATTTACTGTTTCGCTGCCACTTTATATCCCATTGTTGCACAACTAGGTGTGTGTGGTGTATTGGAGCCCTTAGACTCACCCTGCATGCTCATTGACCGGTTTGTTCACTTTTTGTGGCCGTCGCGACAATACCACTTTGACCTTACCACGGTGTGATGATGGTGTGTGATGGTTCGTGCCCTCCATAACCCATTGCGCTATACTGGGTATGCATATGTGGTACTTAGAGAGCCTTCCATTCCGGGTTGGTTAATGGGTAGATTGATGACTAACACAGACTCCTGGTCCTCCAGATTGACAGTTGGAACTTGTGCGGCGACTTGCTCCTTAAGAATGCAGGCTTTTCTGATGGTGTTACGCCAGCCAGTGTGGCCTTGGGGTTCGGCTTTTGAGACAGTCTTTGACTGAGGATTGTAAGCATCCTCCTGATGGGTACCTCCTATGTCCCACCTGCGTACCACCGTGAATTCCACACTTACAAGTGATCCCATACGACACAGGTCCCCGCCTGGTGCCAGCAGCCGAGTTGCCTTACTTTTTGCATACAACAGGGCAGTAAGCGAGAACAAACTACCGCTGACGCCTCCTTTATTTTTCACATTTTCTCTTCTCCCCTTAACCTGTTGCTAGCGCCATCTCCGTAGGTTCATTCTTAGGGAGCGACAATTGCTTTGGCTACCCATTGCCGCTCGCTACAACATCTGCAATTCATTCATCCGCCATACTTACAGACACTTTGAAACCGTTCGTCAAACCCCGTCTCCCAGTTCGTGTTCCAGCCTTTAGCGTTCGCACTCTGGAAGAAGCTAGACAACAAACTGCTGTTGCATGGACTCACTTTTTATTGATGTATGCTGCCCCTGAAATGACGACTCTGGACCCAAGAACGGCTGTGGAACTGACCTTTCCATCGGTTTCCTGTCGCTTCTGGTTGCGCATGTCCGGTGATCCAGAAGCCGCCGCGGTGTGTTGTGCTGGGTCTGACGTTGTGTTAAGCCACTGATCTGAAGCGTATCTACTCGAATGGTCGCCCGTTGATGGTCGTGTGTCTGGGAGTATTTCTTAAGTTCCACCACAGTTGCTACCCATTTGTTTTATCTGGTTTGCCCCAATAGACTGTAGCTCTGACACACTCAAAGATAGCTTTCACGACGCTTGATCGCTTCATGGTCGGCTTAGTGTGCAGATATTGTGATTGCGGTGGCTATGAATGTGGAACTCAATAGACTAAACGCTCCTGAGGCTTGTTTGGGTCTTGGCCTAGAATCGAGATGCATTGACAGCGGTGAACGCCTGTTGCCATTAAGTGTTTATCTTAGACTTTGTGTATCCTTAAATTCCGAATTGGTTCGGTCACATGATGCCCGCCTAGGGGCGAACCTCCAGCACAGATGAACATTGCCGTTCGCTACAACTGGTTAGTCATTGATTTTCGCTCGTTCTGGAGCACATGTGGATTCGGATCATGAGTGTGTTATTTGTCATTTTTAGGGATGCGCAAGTTGCGCACACCCCGTCCAGCCACTGTGTCACCCTCGAATTCTGACGTGAAGCATACCTGGAGAAGTTCCTTTCGCACAATAGACCCCCTGATTTCGACTATTGCTGGAGAGGACTATCCGCCACCCCGCAAGATGCAGCACGCTCCGTTCGTGGAACCGCGCAATCAACTACGTCCCAGTAATGGATCCGGTGCAACATTGAAATTCCTCGGATCTGCGACGTGTATTCGTCCTAGCCAGGAATACAATGCAAACCGGGGAAATGTCGGACATTAAGTGGAAAAAGCATTTGCGAACCTTCGAATCCTAGGATTAAGCACTTTCAACAACAATTTAACTGGACTCCTGCAATTTGTTAGCCGGCTTTCCGACCCGCTACCCAACTCTGGACAATTAACCTAGAACCCCTGATTGCCCCTCAAGCATCACCGGTCTGCTAGCGCTGACATACTCCCGTGACCCAGATGTTCATGGATGTCATGCGCGTGAGAGAGTCTGCAAATTTCTTCAATAAGCGCTGGTGTCCAAAGATACCGTGCACCCCCTCCATTTTTGTTTAATTACATCATTGGTGAAGTAGTGAGGCGAACACTAGAAGTCTCCAAAATCCCGCTGTTCAGATCTTTCCGTACGAGAACTTTGTCGATCTGCAATATGCAGGTCGTTTTTGAAAAAAAGAAGAAGAAGCGCAACCACGACTAGAAAAACTGACCAAGGCCATCCAGTTCCTTAGTGCATGCTTCGCACCCACAAAGTGCAAAGTTATGCCTGGGGACGTACAGTATTTGACTGTGCCTCTAAAATTTTAAAGTGACACTGGAACTTGTCGAATACTATCTTGGAAGTTGCATTAGCTCTGACAGTAACATGACAGACGAGGTGAACGCATGAATCTCGAAGGCTGGAGTTGCGTTTTCCAATTTGCGCTAATTGAGGCATCGAACTGACAGCTGGGTCTCAAAAGACGTGTGTATCAGACTGCAGTCCTGGTTGTATCATTGTACAGGAGGTGAACTTGGCTATTTTGGGCGGAGGCATTTCCAGGTCTTTGATCACCAATGCCCCGCAACTGTAGCTGGAATCGGTTTAAACCAGTGAATTCACAGTGAGCTAATCGGAAGATGGGTCTTTAGTTAAGCAGAAGGTACTTCACCAAAGGAATGCATGTCGAATGGCCAGCTGTCGAAACAACCGTTGTTTTCTCTGCCTAATTCCAATTGGCAAATGCCTAGGGGTGGATAGAATTTGACATGACAGAAGGGAGTGAAGGGTGTTACGAAAAGTTTGGATGCTGTCCGCCTTGAAAGATGGGTCCGTGCGATTGTCACTGAACTTGGCTGGCGACAATAATGGTATGAGGGCTAACCGCCGTCAGTGGTTCTCATGCTATCGGTTTCTATCCGCAGTGTCAGGCTGACTGGTGGAGGTCTCGAATGTCTTTGTTAGGCTGACCATAGGTCTCTTCTCCGTCCCATTTTTTCATTTCCGCGATGAGGTTTTATGCTAATAAATAGATACGGCAGTAAAACCGCTGTCTCCAGTAGTGTTGGTGCCGATGACGATGTACATCTGTATAGAGTAACTAAATTTGAGTGCGACCGAATGCACCAGCGAAACGAACGACCTCCACCAATCTTGGAAGGGGTGGTCCAGTGTGGTCGGTGGACGAATACTTCCTTTTGGTTGGTTTTCTACCGGTAGTTTTCTCGTTTTCAGCTGAACATCAACAGCAACGCTCTAGTTCAATCATCAAAGTCATTCTAGTGGGATTTTTTCAATAATGATATGATGCTAGCACTGGCCTACCACGTATCGGCATTTGCCGGCAGTGAATACAACCTTAGCGTTCAGATTTGTGTGCCAACTGATGGTCGGGTACACTATGCCAATATCAGAAGTGGCATTCTTCTACCGTATGCCGTCACTGATGCGTTGTTCCTGTTGGGCCCGGTGGTCTTCCTCTTCACTTGGGTTTCTGTGTTGGTCCCACATGTTATGGCATGTGTGAAATGACAACGTCTAGAATTAATCTAATGCTGATGTTGTGGTCCGTATTCGATTCACGTATACGTTGTCTTGAACTGGCGATTTTTTTAACTATATTTATGCCGCAGTTTTGTCTTCATTTTCAGCCTAACATGTGATAGTCCATTCCATCCGTGGCGTTCCACCTTTTACTACTGTATCATTGAAGCACACTTCACCATCCTCTGCACGCGCACTTCTTCGGATGTCAGATGAGCTCGTTTCGTTACTGTCGGTGCCACTACGTCTCATTTATTCTTAGCGGCTTATGCAGGCGTATGAGAGTACGCAGTATCTGTTCGCTGATCTCCTGGACCCTTTTGTCCTTACTCTTCGTCAGCAGCTTTTGGCGCTTTGCTTGCGTCATCTTCATCACAAACCCGACCGATACACCCTCCGTGGAGCCACCATTTGGCTCGGCACATCGGGTTCCTTCTGTCTTTTGCTCGTTCAATTCACTGTGGGCAATTCCAGAGTTTTGGCCCAGGCACATTACAACTCGTGTTTTACCAGATCGTGATTTGACCGTGGTAAGTACACACGCGTAGTAGGTTCAAACCATATCCCACCATAGGCATGCTGTTTGGTTTATTTCTACATGGTAATATCTCCATCTTTAGCGCACCAAACTCAGTCCAAAGCATTTGATTCATGAGCCTTTGAATTTTGACGGTCATAAAATAAGGGCTTGTGGTAAAGTTTTTGGATGTTGACGTGCAATCTGTCCAATAACTACTGACACCACCTAGCAGACTTCCCTACGCTGGAATTAAATGCCTGTGTATGGTTGTAGACTTCTGTGCCCCCTATGTACTCCGATTCTTGGATGCATAAGTTACGTACTTTCTTCATGAACATCAACCCCATAAGTTCCCTTCTGGACACCGTTGGTAACTGTTCACCTTCCACCTGCCGTTCTTACTGAATCAGCGATTCATGCATGGGTACGACGCGATTGTCCGAATTTCCCCGGTCGAAAGGATCACTGGTTGTTAGCTTTCTGGCTTTTACCGCGTGTAACACCGCCTCCCCAAATAGGTCAGTGTTTGAGGTACAAACTTCTTGACCGAAAGGTCCATGGTCCAAGGTCCAACCCCGGCTCCTCAACTGCTCCTGTGTGGACTTGGAAAGTCTGTCAGTATCTCAACCCTTCTGCTTCCTACTGGAGGTGACATGACATTTAAGCACCGAAAAGTCAATGCAGCTGAATGGATGACATTTTATTTAATAATATTACCCCTTTTTTTCAGTATTAAACAAAAGCATTACTAACCAGAAGTGTCACAATTTGTGGAGAGCTGTCCCACGCCCTTACAACTCATAACGATAAAAACTGTTGCCGTGGTCGTTTGTTGCTTGCAATGTGAAGTCCTGTGAGTGGACGATACATTTCTCTCTGGATTCAAAAAGAACAAAATGAGTTGCTTTAGAGGAGTTCCAGCAGCACGAATAACGGTGTAACGGCGGGTACTACTGATGAAGCGTGCGAGTAGCATGTGGTTTCCTCGTAACTCCGTTTACACCTGAGTGGTAGTCAATAAATATCCAGGAAAGTTCAAGAAGTTGGACATTCAATTTTTTTAAACAAGGTGCATATGGGAGGCTTACTTTCCTGTCTAGTAATTTGTGACTGTTTAGTTGGTGTTTTCCAATAAACAACCCCGCGGCGAAGGGCTTTTCTCCTTGCAATGGTACTACTTTGGTCCGAAAATCCTGGTCTTGATGTGGGTCGCGAAAGAAGTACAATCAAATTTTGGGTTACGATGATTTCCCCTGGTCCCTGGAAAGGAGGGTTTTCTTTCCCTCGTGATTTTCTAATAAGGAATTGTCCTTGCGAACAACTCTGTAAATACTGTCGGCTGAGCGAACCGTAGCAGTTTGCCCTCACTGTCACCAGCTAGACATGCCAACAACTTCCTGTTATTTGTGAATAAAAAGGACATCCACATCTGTCTTGGTCGCGCCAGTCCGTACCACTCGAATGTGCTGCATTCAGAACTGAAACATGCCCTTGCTAACACATCCAGTTCTCGAATAATCACGATAGGATGATAAACTTCGTTTTCACGTCATTCGGATGAGGAAGCTGCTGCAGCTTCCAGTAAGTCCCTATTAGGTTTTGTGTGAAGTGAATGACTATTTTTGGTACCGCTTGTTTCGAAACGCAATTGCTGGGGTCTGATATTCCAAGGTCATGTAACACACCCCATTTGACGATAAAAAGGAGCAAAAGTGCGCAAACCTGTTCACCCTATAGCTCGAGGTGGCTCTGCAGTTCATCCGCATGCTTTCTAACAGAAAGGTCCCTGGTTCGATGCCAAACTCGACCCATTTCGACTACTCTCATCTAGGTTTAGGGAACCTGGCGCTATCTCGTCCGTCATTGTTCCTTCGAATAGCTTGGTACTGAAAGGATGTTACAGCTCACTCTGATCCACGTCTTTTTCGCCACATTTTAAACATCCAAAGACTCGATTACCTTTCTTTTTACCCTCACAACCACTAACTTTGAAAACCACTTGTTGATCTATCACCCACATGGTAGACACATCAGATAAATGTGAAATAGAATGTCGGATGCTAGTGCGCCATGAATAAAAATTCGTTTACAATATGACTTGTATAAAGTTGTGGCTACATGAAGTGTATATCGGCTTGCGTAATGTCTCGCCTCAAAGCTTTTGGCCATGAGGTACAGTTAGATTGATGTCTTCGGCTTATGTTTCGCTGAAGTCAGAGCGTTATCACAGCCAACCTTATTTGGTAATATTTTCTTTGTTGTTCGCTTATCGATGTATTCTGTTTTTAGCTGCGTCGAAATAATATACCTATTCTGGATTTTCATCACAGCGCCTTCTGTAGGAATGACGAGGTATTGGATTACAAAGAAGTATCTGCACCTGGTTGCTCATACACCGTTTACAGAAATCCGTAAATTGCTGACAGACGCCGGTGACAAACTAGTGTGAGATGCGGCTTTTGGATAAAACATTTCGGAAATATAGTTGCTATTGTCGCTTATCTCACGAGTACTGAACAGATGTTCAGGGGTGTTTTTTAATGTAGCCCTTCTAAATGCTCATTCTCTTCCCCAAGAGGTACGTCTTAGTGATATTCTGTGAAAATACCCCCTACTCAACGTTTCTGGACAATCTGTATGTACTCGTCGATATCTGTTGCAACCATGTTTGCGCTACGTCCCTACTGTCTGCATGTTGTGGTCTTTGATTGCAGAAATCCCAATCGTCCTGGTTCGCTCTAGCTTTCTGGTACATACATATATATCTGTTCCTTAACAATAGTTATTGAAAAGTTCAGTACGACTTTTTCTTGGCGCTGTAGGCTAACTTGAGTAGTATAGCGATGGGTCACGTGACGATGAATAGGATCTTGTGCATTTGTACAAGGCAAACGGAAAATTTTTGTGCCAAAGGAAAAGGTTTACTTTTGTTTTTGAATTTCGGTAAAATGCCCTATAAACTATATGTCTTTGCAGTGGTATTTTCGATGTCTAACAGAAAACCTGCCTACTGGTTAGATTCCTTTTGGTAACTTCGGATTTTAATGTTTATTTAGCCTCACTTCACCTTCAAGCTAGAAGCTGAATAACTTTGGCAATTTAGTTGTGTGCCACGTCTAGAAATATACTGCTTTCACGGAAATCTGATGCTTATCATTCGAACGCTTCCATTGCTCCAAAACTAGCTCATCTGTTGTATGTCCCCTCACCTTGTCTTTTCTCTGTACTCTTTTCAGTCCTTCTGGTTCACATTTTGGCATACTCATGTCCCATGATCATATTTCTCCTCCCAATCCAGTTTATTTTTAGTAGCCATCCCCCTTTCCCCAACTCGCCCCAGTTGAGCGATCCAACTTTTATCCTTCGTCGGAAACAGGTCAATGATCTTCTTATCGCTAGTTTACATGGTGAGTACTTGCTACTTTGGCGGATTCTGAATTGGTTATTGGTTTTATGCAGTTAACTCCGATCGAAAGATTATGGGTTTCCACTCACGGCGATCAGCTGCATGAGTGAGCAGATGCCAACCCTGTTTTCCTTTTTTATCGTCCTAAGCTATTCTTTCGGCAAATCCGAAGTTGTCGAAGAATCCTGTTGGTTCGTGTCGTTGCTCGAGATGATTTTGGCAGCAGTAAATCACGCACAAATCGTACTTTCAAGCTAACTAGTCAATGAGCACTGCCTACTGGCATAATTTCGGTCCATAAGAGAAGCTGTGGTGTCGGATTCAGTACATTGAGCTGGCATCAAACTACGTCGCCTAACCTCCGCACAGGATAGAGTTGCCACAGTCGATGTGTGCCGGGGCGCGCGTGCAGCTATCCAAACGCTCTCATCCGGTATTGAACCCAGCGTGCAAGGGGCAAGGGCGAACAAGATGGGCCATTTCCTAAAGAATCAACCCAGGTTGTTTGTCAACTTACGTGGCTGGTCGTGTTCTTCTGAATCGGTCGATACGCATTCACTTGTCTCACCTTACCTGTTATCCCGACCTAAAGCTGCCACCTTGACGTGGTGGTCGGGCTTCAGTGCTTCAATGATCCCGCAGGCCACACTGGCTGGAACTTCGTCCCACAAGGTGCAACCATGCCAGGAAGGCCAAAGTGGAGCAGCCAAACCAAGAGCAGCGAGACCCCGTACTACGAGTAATCGTGCTACGAGGCGGTCTGGGGGTAAAGTCGTACTGTCCTCTGCGACAGGAGTGTGAAGGCAGTAAGGTGTTTCCCCCAGGCGACCAGCATGTCCATATTTATGGAAGCAGCGATGCTGCCTTCCCCCGAGGAAGGACGGGTTAGAAAAGGTCGACCCCAAAACAAGGTCGGCCCTTAAAATCTCACACTCCGATCGCCCAGCGGTCGACCGTGATTGCAAGCGCATTATTCAATACGATCGAAATACTTCAAAACCAAAGAGTCCGTTGCTGCTCAGAAAGCACCTGCTGTGCGCAGCTGCATCGGGAATGAGACAGTAATTCCTTATTCCCTGCGCCCTCGGGTTAGGCCAACCTCCTGCAGCCGAACAGCTCAAACTGTTGAGTCGTCGGCTCCTGGTAGGGTCCCCAAAGAAAACCCTACATTTTCCCACTGCCTCTTGGGTCAGGCTTTTAAGTCAAAGGCTAGGGTCAGGGTCCCCGAACAAAACCCTACGTCATCCTACTGCCTTGTGGGTCAGACATTGGAGTCAAAGGTTCGAGATGGGGTACCTCAACCAAACCCTGTTTCTCGGCCTGGGCAACCGGGAAGTATCATTTGCCCGCGCAGTTCAGCGTCCACCGATGTCCCTCCCCAACCCCTTCCCAGTGCACAAGCAAACGTCGCTGGGCAATTTGACTGTCAGTCATCTGACCGAAGGGCCTTGTACTCCACCCTGCCTACAAGCATTAAACAAAATAAAACCTTTCTAAATCCACGAGATACTCTCTATATAGGAGCTTTTAACGTCCGTACTCTATGTCAAATTGGCACTCAGGTAATGCTTGCTGAAACCTTGTACTCCCTTAAAATTGATGTATGCTGTGTCTCCGAAACACGCATACAAGACCCGAGCGTGGTTCTGCATCTCA